CCACCAGGGAAACCTGGAGAGGGCTAGCCTCCCACTAGTTCAAATTAAGGGTCTACACAGCCCTTAATTCGAACTAGTAAGGATGAGGATTACCTAGCTCGAACTAAGTGCTCCGTTAGTTCGAATTACGTTCGAACTAACGGAGCGCTAGTGTAGCGCCTATGAAAGTTAGTTTGAACTAACGGACGTTAGTTCGAACTAACTTTGTAGTGTAGACATACCCTTCCTGCCTCTGTATAAAACTATGGTACACCCCCATCTTGAATACTGTGTACAGATGTGGTCTCCTCACCTCAAAAAAGATATTTTGGCCTTAAAAAGGGTTCAGAATAGGGCAACTAAAATGATTAGGGGTTTGGAACGGGTCCCATATGAAGAGAGGTTAAAGCAACTGGGACTTTTCAGTTTAGAAAAGAGGAGACTAAGGGGAGATATGATAGAGGTCTATAAAATCATGAGTGGTGTGGAGAGGGTGAATAAAGAAAAGTTATTTATTGGTTCCCATAATAGAAGAACTAGAGAACACCAAATGAAGTTAATAGGTAGCAGGTTTAAAACTAACAAAAGAAAGTTCTTCTTCACACAGCGCGTAGTCAGCCTGTGGAACTCCTTGCCAGAGGAGGAGAGGGCTGATAAAGAAAAGTTATTTATTAGTTCCCATAATAGAAGAACTAGAGGACACCAAATGAAATTAATGGGGAGCAGGTTTAAAACTAATAAAAGAAAGTTCTTCTTCACACAGCGTGTAGTCAACCTGTGGAACTCCTTGCCAGAGGAGGCTGTGAAGGCTAGGACTATAACAGAGTTTAAAGAGAAGCTAGATAATTTCATGGAGGTTAGGTCCATAAAAGGCTATTAGCCAGGGCATAGAAATGGTGTCCCTGGCCTCTGTTTGTCAGAGACTAGAGAAGGATGACAGGAGACAAATCACCTGATCATTGTCTTCGGTCCACCCCCTCTGGTGCTGGCCACTGTCAGCAGACAGGCTACTGGGCTAGATGGACCTTTGGTCTGACCCAGAACAGCTGTTCTTATGTTATTTCTGGTGTTATTAAATCTAATTTAGTTATTTCAAAATAATTTCCTAGTGCAGACATGCCCTCTTACCTAAGAGATACCAGGCACAAGCTGTACGCACATTCCAGAGGGATGATAGCCCATGTTCCCTCTAATATTTTCCATCCATGAGTGGAGTGAGTTTTGTCTAATATTAAGGTCAAATGCGCGCTTATTTGTATGTGTGCAATGACGATTCATATTTAAACATGAGTCTTGTTACTGCTGTAAAAATAACTTTTTATAAATGTTATTAGTTTCTACATCATACATCAGTATGAAACACAACTTTAACCCTATCTCCCTGAGTCCACGTATTTTCCTTAATGTGAGTGTTTTCATTAAAGTTCATTTGACAAATACTGCTGTTAGATTTCCTCAACTGTGAAATGTTCCAAAACAAAGAAAACAACTTTGGTCCAAGTCCCACATGTATCACAAATGCAAGTCTCAGTTTCCTCTCCACTGCAGAGGGTTTACTTTAATTCTTGTCACTATCAAAATGTTTACAGGAGAGCTACAAGGTGGTGTAGAAATTTGTCTTTAAAATAGACCATTGCATTTTATAGAATACAGATATAGAAAACAAAGCAAATATACAAGTGCACTCCCTATGACATCTCAGATACAACTTAAGGAAAGGGGCAACATGAGTTGAATGTTGTACTATACAAAAGACACACGTGTAGCATTTAGCCACTGGGCTGCAGGAGCAGTAGTGCTTAGCAATACTACACCACAAGGAAATCCCGAAGGGCCTGGTGCGCTGGGCAACCTGGTATAGCATGATAAGCTCACTTGCGCCTGGCTTGTTTTGCAAGGTATTTTTAGGGCCATGGGTAGCTTCAAAATGCTCTTTGAAGTAGAGTTTGACGTAAATTGTTTATTTGTTTCAACATAGTAGAAAAAAATATGAGTTAGAAGAAAAACCCACCAGTTAATGGAAGTCTTAGAATCAGATGGCCCACATCACCCATCTACAGGTGGGTTTTTTTTTGTTTTGTTTGTTTGTTTTTTTACTTTCGTCTGCTCAAACACTTCTCATATTGCGGTCAGACTGAATGGTAAATAGGCAGTCCAGACCTGAGTGTGGGCCACCCTTTTTCCTCCAGTGTCTCCCCTGGGAGTACTCCCACTGACAAAAGTTGTGTGATAAGATATTATATAATAAGCAATTAAGTGAAAAGGCCTTTGGTCAAAACCAAACCTATAAAATATACTTTGGACAAAAACAAACCAGTAAACTATACATAGAAGAGAGTCTTACTGCAATCATAACTTGCAAGCTTTTTACGCACATAATGTGCTACCCAAGCACCACAGCCCCAGCCCCAGCCCTGGCCCTGGCCCCAGGAACAGCTGACACATGGCCACGGCCATTGTCCCGGCCCCAGGAGCAGCTAACACTTGGCCACCACTGTGG